GTATATGAATTGGTTAATTTATGATTGATTCTTGATTCTGAATTATGAATTCTGATATAGTAACTACAGAAGACTAAAAGATAGATTAAAGTCAACTAAAACTTAAATTTATATTCTGATTTTAATATCTATATTAAATTGAAAAAATGAATAAGAATAAATCAAGTCATCAACACTAATAACAAACAAAATGAAAAATTTTTATGAATTAATGTTTCCTTCTGTATGTGATGGACATTGTTGGGTTTAACTGGCAAGAACAAAAAAAACAAGTTAACTGGAAGAACAAAAAAAATTAAATTAAAATATTAGAACAGTATGTTTTTTAAATTACAGATCAAGTGCACAAAGTTGCACATGTCAGATATGATGCATTGAATTAGACCAGTTCTAATATCATTCTTCAATCTGTCTCATTGAAGTTAACTGTTGTCCCTCTCCTGAAAGCTTTGTAGATTTCTCTTTCTAGGTGTTTCAGCTGAGACAGTTTTGTCACACGGTATAGGAGTCGTGTCTTGTACATCATTATCTGAGCACAGTGTTGGAGAAGTGTTTTCTGAGGCTGTATTGATGTTTCTTAATCCTTGCACTGAGGGTCACTAGTGGTAAGGAGTGAGAAAATCATAATGTTTCTTCTAAAAACAATTCTTGCTTATTATATTGGGTTATCTCCTTATAGATGTTCCATCTATAAGGAGATAACCCAGTGTTTCTCAACCTGTAACGAACCGTCGCCCCTTTTACGTAGTATCGCCCCCTTCAATAAAACCGTCACATAGTATCGCCTCCTTCACTACAAAATTCCGATGCCGAGGGACAAGACTAATGCCAAATTCGTACTGCATTGAATAGAATAGTGACTAGTATAATGTTATTCGTTTAATTATTGTACGATATAACGAATAAAATATCTAATTATTCTTAATATAATGTTTTACTATATAGCCCAGAAAATTGTTTTTCGCCCCCAAAATATAAATTGTTGCTAATCGCCCCCTGAACATGGAAAAACGCCCACATGGGGGCGATATCGCCCCCGTTGAGAAACACTGAGATAACCCAATATAATAAGCAAGATGTATGTGACTACTACATATAGTTTAGTGTCAGGTTGGGCATGATCAGCCAGTTGACTCAGGTGAAAGGGTAATGTTTTAATTAGGTGTGTTGAGTAGCCATGTTGCTTATCTAATTTGATAATGTAACTTAGCTTCTCTCTATCTTTTGTGTATGAACAGTGTGTGTAGGTTCTCTTATCTAAAGCTCTAAAAGCAGTGAGTTTATATGAGACTAGATCATGTGAACAGTCAGGGATGAAAACTGGAGTGTATGAGCTCTATTTAAGATCTTTATTATCAGTTTCCCTTGTAGTGAAGTATGGATATCTAGAAAATATACTTGACTGTAGTTTTCCTGCTTTGGTCTCAAAGATTGGCTTTATGGATTATTGTTAAATTTTCTCAGGAAGTCTTTCATGTCAGGTTTCTTCTCCAAATAATTAAGATATCTATACATCTTGCATAAAATATAATTTGGTGTTTAAAGAAAGGTAGAATGGTGTGCTCTAATCTTTGAACTACCAACTCTCAAAGTGTTCCCAATAGTAAGATAACCTTGAGTACTCTTTTTTTTTTTTTTTTTTTTTGAATGTATGTAGTGTCTTCAACAATGAAGAACAAGGAATGACACATTAAATGCAACAATTCTAAGATGGAAGAGAAATTCTAGCACAACTTTGTGAGCTTGATCTGTAATTTAAAAAATGTTCTGTTCTAAGATTTTAATTTTTTTATTATTCCATTTAAGTTCTTTCAGTTAAACTTGTCAATGTCCATTATATATGGAAGAAAATGTTAGTTAAAAGTTAATTTTTCATTTTGCTGGTTATTGGTGTCATTGGTGTGATTTATTTATGTATTAAGCCAGTATTTTGATGATTGGTATTAATTTAATGAATAAGAATAAATCAAGTCATCAACACTAATAACAAACAAAATGAAAAATTTTTATGAATTAATGTTTCCTTCTGTATGTGATGGACATTGTTGGGTTTAACTGGCAAGAACAAAAAAAACAAGTTAACTGGAAGAACAAAAAAAATTAAATTAAAATATTAGAACAGTATGTTTTTTAAATTACAGATCAAGTGCACAAAGTTGCACATGTCAGATATGATGCATTGAATTAGACCAGTTCTAATATCATTCTTCAATCTGTCTCATTGAAGTTAACTGTTGTCCCTCTCCTGAAAGCTTTGTAGATTTCTCTTTCTAGGTGTTTCAGCTGAGACAGTTTTGTCACACGGTATAGGAGTCGTGTCTTGTACATCATTATCTGAGCACAGTGTTGGAGAAGTGTTTTCTGAGGCTGTATTGATGTTTCTTAATCCTTGCACTGAGGGTCACTAGTGGTAAGGAGTGAGAAAATCATAATGTTTCTTCTAAAAACAATTCTTGCTTATTATATTGGGTTATCTCCTTATAGATGTTCCATCTATAAGGAGATAACCCAGTGTTTCTCAACCTGTAACGAACCGTCGCCCCTTTTACGTAGTATCGCCCCCTTCAATAAAACCGTCACATAGTATCGCCTCCTTCACTACAAAATTCCGATGCCGAGGGACAAGACTAATGCCAAATTCGTACTGCATTGAATAGAATAGTGACTAGTATAATGTTATTCGTTTAATTATTGTACGATATAACGAATAAAATATCTAATTANAACAGTTTTAAACATACATCACATGTAAATTATAATTAAATAAAGATTTATCTTTACAATTTTTGTGATTACTCAGGATTTATTTCTTCATAATTTGAAGTTCGGACTATTTACAAAAAGTCAAAATTAACTTTTGAGTCCATCTTTATCCTTATTAACTTTATCCTAATTTTGACTTTTTGTAAATAGTCCGAACTTCAAATTATGAAGATTTATCTTATTGTGAATCTATTATTAATTAGTATTTTGATTTAGTCAAATGATAAATTTAAATTGATTCTACTATGTATGATTTCATTCATTGATAAACACATAAGAGAGGCAAATGATCCACAAAGAAACTTGAAAAAAGAAAGCTGATGTAGTTATTATTGAAAATATTTATTACTTTCCCAGGAAGATAAACATTAGTGAAAGAACATTCTTAACTCTGTCATTTAAAAATTTATTTTTGAAATATGAATCAAACCCAATTAAATAGATGCCTTGTTAAATTTACATTAAGAACTTGGTCATTCCATCTGAAATTATCTTAGAATTATTAAAGAGGAGATGGAATCTTACTTTTTCAATATAACTTTTTACTTAGATAATACAATTACAACCTAAAGTATAATTTTATTAACCACATTATATATCAGTTATAATTTTTGATCTTTTATTAAGTGAGGTAGCTTATCATTTAATGCTTTGAAATAAATATGATCCTGATAAGTAAACAACAAATAGTTTTACTTTATGTTTAGACTATATATTGAGTTTTATTACTTTTTTTAAATATGATTAACTGATATCAGTGATAGATACAAGGGCTTAAGCAGGCCCAAAGACACAAAAAATTTTAAAATTATTTGTTTGAACTTCAAAACATTGCTGTTTAAAAACATTTATGATAGTAAATATAGTTTATCAGATCAACTGCAACACAATTGTCTTGTAATGTTAATAAAATACACTTATTAATTATTCAAATAATTTTTTAATTGGCTCCCCCTTTGTGTAATTTTAGATCCACTACCAAATACAATGTACAATACAGGTATCCTTGATCAATGCAGTTTATTAATCCCTTGATCCTACCATGTATATCAAAATCTTATTAATCAAAATATGGTATCTATGTTAAGTAAAGACAGCTGATGAAGCTGTGCAAGTTATAACATTTTTCTTTAACTACACTTAATTACTTCTCAAGCATCGACACAAAAACCTTTATAATGCTGCCTTTTAATTCAATTTTCTAAAGTTTTGGCCATTTTGAAAGGCCTTCATCAGGAACATAACAATCGAATGTTATTAGGATTCAATTGTTATGTTCCTGATGAAGGACTTATATTATGACGAAGGAAAATGTTAGAAAATTGAATTAAAATGCTGCATTATAAAGATTTTTGTGTCAATGCTTGAGAAATAAGTTATAACTTTTGCCACATATATAAATGGATTACCACAATTAATTTTGCATGTTAATCAAATTCCACATTAAGCAAGGGATACCTGTGTTTATATATAAAATATTTGTTAAATTCCTGTTAATATTCAATTTATTTTAATGTATTAAAATTGAAAACAAATTTATGTGAATGTACACACACACAAATTTTTAATACATTTTAAACATTGCTGTTATGTATGTATGTGTTCATTTGAGTGAGTCCCACCAAAATATATTCTGGGTGTATCAATGATTTGATTAATCTATAAGTTTAAAAAGAAGAGAGAATGCACTGGATTATTGATTCAATCAAATATTTATTATGTAGAATTTATTAGAATAAAATAGTTGCCAGTAGTTAGCTATTTACAAGAAAGGAATGTCTAAAGTTTGTCATCTTTTAAAGCTTTAAACATTCACAAAATAAATATTAAATGAATGATACATACAGCAATTAAGTATTGTAATTCTATGTGCAGTAAACTGGAACTTTTCTATAATAAGTTTCAAACACCTTTCTCTCTTTTCTAGCAATTTCTTTAATTAAGTCAAAGAACTAACATTTTTGGCTATTTTAAATGGCCTTCTTCAGGTTAAACTAATTTAATGAGAATGCAATATAAATTGAAACTGCTTAAAATTTTTAAAATTTATTTCTAAGAAAATATAGCAAATTGAATTTTAGAAATTTTATTGAAGTGTAATTCTTCTAAATAAGTTATGTATTATGCTATTTGTCAATGTTTTAACAATTAAACAAATATTTGTTGCAATTTTGTATTTATTATTGCTATTATTTTACTGAGTTTTAGTTATTTCTAGTAAAATGAAAATAATTTATTTCAGATTACTTTCTGACATTGTTACAACAATTAATTTAAGATGTTTTTAAGAAAAGTAAGTCATTAATAATCGAATGTAAAATTAGTATTTTAATAAAATAATAATAAAAATAAATTGTAAAATATTATTTTATATTTTAATTTTAGTTATCACTAAAATTAAAATATTTTTCCGTAATTCGAACTTGTCATCATCAGGCATTTTCCCTGCAAAAAGATAAAGCTTATATTAATGGACATTGGATATCAGCTTCAAATGGCAAAACATTTAATGTAAGTTTTTTCTTTATAATATACGTTTTAAATTATTTTTTTAAATGTTGTGTGTGTACACATATATATATACACACACAACAAATATTTGTATAATTATAAATTTTTGTTAAATTTAAGGTTATAAATCCATCAACTGGAGAATCTTTAGGATCTGTTCCAGACTGTGGTGTAACTGAAACAGAAGAAGCCATCAAAGCTGCTTATAATGCATTTCAAACTTGGAGTTGCAGACCTGCAAAAGTATTTTTGCCTTATATTTTTTCTAATTTGATCATTATTTTGTTTCATAAGAAAAAATAATTTTTAAAGGCTTTTTTAAATGAAATTTTTGAAAATTGTTTTATTATTTAATTACTAATATATTTATTTTATGATTAATTTTAGGAGAGAGGAAAATTCTTACGACAGTTATTTGATTTGCAAAATAAATATCAAGATGATTTGGCTTCTCTTATTACAGCAGAAATGGTTAGTTTATTAGTTGCATTTTATTTATTAATTAAAATATATAGTATTTTCTTTATATACTTTTAGATCAGGGGTTGCAAACTGGCAGTCTGCAGGCCGGATATGGCCCATTAAGGCTTCATATCTGGCCCATGGCCTTGATGATTTAATTTCTAAAAATTAATATTTGTAACATCTTGCAGGGATTAAAACAGAACAAACTCAAATTTCTGTTTATGTAAGTCATAAAGGCCTGGCAACAAAAGGGCCTTTGTTAGAGTTTTTTTTAGTTTACAGTATATATTGGTTTATCAAATAATAATGAATATGGCCCACATCTGATATACATCGATTTGACTGGCCCTTTGCTTTGTTTGAGTTTGAAACCCCTGTTTTAGATCTTAATTTGTTTAATTTAATTCTATTTTTAAAACTACTGATTTGTTCATTGCAGTAGTGCATTAATACATGTTACAAGTTTGTTGTATTTGGATTTGAAATTCATTCATAAAATACAGAATTAAAGTTTGAAGTCATTATAATGAAATTGTCTTCTAAATTAACACAGTAATACCCTGAACTTACGCGATAGGTGGGACTGAAAGATAACCGTGTAAGTTGAATTCGCGTAAGTCTGGGTATAATTTTGCAATTTGTGTAAAATCCAAGTTGGATGTATGTAAGCTAATAAATGTTCTCGTTAATCTTATCTCGTCTTTTGATTCGTTCACGGTTACAAGAAATCACCACACAGAGTCTCTCAAGTCTCTGTAGATATAACAGACACAGAAATAAATAACACAAAATAAATTGTAGCTATATGTTGATTCTGCGTGACACATCCGAACATGTAAGCTGAACAATAGTGTGGGGGAAGTGAGTAATCAAGAGTTGCATGGCACTCAAACAAGAGATGAATCGATGAGATTTGAAAATCACGTAACTCCAGGTTCGTGTAAGTTGAGGTACTACTGTAATTTATACTTATATATCACTTGCATTATAGCTTATACTGTAATCTCAATAGATTTAAATGGATTTATTTTTATGTGACTATTGCAAAAATTTAACTTTTTTGAAAGTGTATATGCTTAAAATAAAATTTCAATATTTGTAAAAGATATTTTCACGTACATAAGAGAAATGTATTTATTATAATACAATTGCTTAGTATGTAACATATTGAAACAGTTATAGAATGAAGTTATGACTTTGTACATATTAGATATATACTTTAGAATTTTCAAATGTCTAAAAATATTATTGTTTTAGTTAATAATTGCAGTTTCAATAAATTTGAAATATTGATTATCTTTTATATAAAATAGGGAAAACCATTTAAAGAAGCTCAAACAGAAATTGCTTATGGTGCTTCTTTTCTAGAATGGTTTTCTGAAGAAGCAAGACGTATATATGGAGATATAATACCTACAGCTTCAAATTCCAAACAGGCAATGGTCCTTCGTCAACCAATTGGAGTTGCAGCAATTATAACACCTGTATGTATTTATTCAAAACTTTTTATATCATTGTTTAAAGTGATAATTGTAAAGATATGTTAAATTTCTGTTATTAAAATAAACAAATTAATTAAGCAGTATTATTCATATCCATGTAGATATAAGTCACATAATGATTCAGGTAGTTTCATGTAATGTTTATTTTAATGCTGCTTTTTTATTTTTTATTTCTGTTTGAAAGGAAAATTTAAGTATTAAAAAAAGTATTGATAAGTTGTTGTTTCAATAAAAAATTTTTATTTGCTTTTTCTTTTGAAATTATTTTGATTTAGAGAGCAAAAACCAGTCTGTGAAATCAGTTATTATTCTGGATGAAATAGACTTTCTATGTATGAATTAATATGTCAAGACTATATAAAAAAATTTTATTGAAAACCAATGTTTAAGAAAGAAACATATAGATTAAATATATCATTGAAATTATTTTAGATATTATTGATTTATTAATAAATTCAATCATTTACAGATAATATACAAATTAAAAATAAAAATTTATTCTGTATTAGATTAAGAACTAAATAGTTATTCTGATTGTCTAATTATTTCGGAATTTGATACATTAAGTCATCAAGTGTTTTCAGACATATGTAAATATTTATTTCAGTGGGAAAAAAAACAATAGACTCTGAATTTTTAAATACTATAATAAAATGTTATGTACTGAAAAACATCAAATCTTATAAAACGTAAAAAGTGAAGAATTTAAAAAATATCATTAGTAAAATAATTGAGGTATTTATCTTTTAAATTATTACTTTATAATTTTTTAAAATACTGTATTATACTACAGCACTATGCTGGACAGTTTGGCAATTTGTTTTTTAATCTGTAATGCCTAGAGCACAGTAGTAATTTTGGTTGACAAAACAGAACAGATTGATTTAAATTTGAATGTTTGCACCGGCCACTTTATAATAATGGAAACTAAAAAATTACAGTATGCTCTATTTTTCAGGCAACAAAACTGTTACTTTTCAAAATAGAAGAAAATTCAATTGGACAATTGGACATGGCAAACTACTGATTGCTTAGTTTCCACTCACCAATGAATTGACAATTAAACAATTACTATTGTACTAATTTTTGCATTTGAAGTCAAAATTTAGAAACTACTGACAAACCAGTAAAGTTTTGAAAATTTATTGTTTTATTGGCAATAAAAAAGTTAGTAAATTTGTAACTCTTAGACAATAGAATCACTAGGAGTAATGTATGTGTCCAGTAGTGTAATCTCAAAACTTTGCATAAAGTAGAAAATGTATCTTTGTAGCTCAATATTTTTCACATAAAATTCATCTCTTAGATATGGGAATAACCATATATAAAAAAATGAAATCATTAGAAGTGTACTATGAAGACTGAAAACGTGATCCCAAAGCATATTCAGATAAAGAAAATTACTCTTAATTCTAGCTTAGCTTATTCTAATTATAACTTTCTAAAATGAATAATTATTCAAACATATATTTAATTTTAATTTAAATAATAGATTAAGGCTTAAATTATTGTGATGATATTAATTTTTTTATTTTGTTTGTAAAAATGGATATATATTTGTTTCTAAATAAATTGTGTATTATTGTAAAATAATTCAATTTAACAATTTTCTTTTCTTAGAATTTGCAAATAAATAAAAACCTTATGTAATATTTTTAGTGGAATTTTCCAAATGCTATGATAACTCGTAAAATTGGTGCAGCACTTGCGGCTGGATGCACATGTATTATCAAACCTGCGGAAGATACACCTTATTCAGCTCTTGCACTTGCGCAATTAATAAGTGAAGCAAACTTCCCACCTGGAGTTGTTAATGTTTTAACTGTTTCCAAAGAGCAAACTCCAGCTGTTGGTTTGAAATTATGTAAAGATCCATTTGTGTCAACTATTTCATTCACTGGATCAACAAATGTTGGAAAGGTATATTCATTTTCTTACTTTTATCATAATTTATTTTATTAAATAATATAATCATAAATTAATCATACTTAATGTAATTTTGAATTTTTTTATGATCGAAATTATATTTTCAGTTTCATTTAGTGATATTAAAATCTCTTGTGAACAATTTATATATAATTCTGAAACATTTTCCTATAAGCTTTTGTAATTTTCAGTTAATGAGAGAGAAAAGAATCAAAATTGTAATTTCTGTTTTTTTTTTAATCTATAAATTTAAGCATTAATTATGATTTTTTAGACTTTATTTCATTGCTTTTTTTATTTACAGTATGTACAGTAGTATATTTTATCTGATTTTAGTATAAATTAATTCTAACACTTGTATAATGCCTGCATTGATCAGTGTTAGAATTAGAATGAAGTTGTGTGTTATAAATTTATATAGAAAATTATTCTGTGTTTTATAACGATACAATTCTTATTTTATTTAGTTATTTTATAAAAGAGTGGCAGATTCAGTATATTGAACATCAGTAATATACCATATTTAAGAATATAGCAAGGCATACCAAACTTAAAATGACCAGCCATGAATGACCTTGTGTAATATTCTGAGTTTTAAAACTATATAAAAAATGTCCCAATTTTGGATTGTTTCATAATTATACTCAAAAATATTTAATATTCACACACAAATTTTAAGTCAAAAAATTAATTGCATACAAGTTAGTGTAAAAATTTTAATATCCAGTTTATAACATGTCTGTATTGTGGTGCTCCAGATCAGTTATAAAAGAGTTCATGGCTTTTATTAATTATCCTGCTGTAGTTGGCAACATGATGCTGGACCACCTTTCCCAACCAATACAACATCAGACCAAGGCTAACTTCACTTTCTCTGGTCGACATGCTCATGCTCAGTCATGCCTTCACTTCCTGCCTTGGAAATTGCCTCAAGGTTAACATATTATTGTAAATTTGTATATAGAGATGTGATAATAATTACCTGGCAACTGCTCAGAGAATGGTCATACTGTCCTAAATTGTTTACCTATCACAACAATGACACTATGTATGGATGGGATTGGATTGATTGGCATACAAGATTAATCTCAAAAAGAGATGTGCCATAGTATGTGCTTCAATCCAGTTAAAAAATGGCAATTAAAGCAAACAAAGCTACACTCAGAGACCATCATTAACTGTTTTTTGTCACTATCACTGTAGATTGTTATTTTGTAAGCAAGCATTACTGGATAAGTAAAATGTTCACTGGTTATTCGTAACATCTGTCATCAGTGTTGTCAGAAAGCTAGAAAGTCAATGATTTTCAACTGGAATTGCTCATGTGACTCATCTGATGTCACATTGTAACATCCCACTTTTTACATTTCATGATGTGGTCACTTTAACCAAACTTTACAATTGAGATTTTACAGTATAACTAACTGTTGGTATTAACATACATGTATTAACAATACATAAAAATCTGGAAAAACTGTTAGGTTCTGAACAGTTGAGAGATTCCAGGAATGTTTTGGAGATGGTTTATTAGGATGTCAGGTTCTGTTTTTCACCACCCAGACTTCTTATTGTGGGCCTGGCTGAATAATTTACATAATGTGCTTGTTAAAAAAGATCTTAGTATCCACAGGGCAGAAAGAGTTAAAAAATATATATATATATATATTTTTTAATTATTATGTTATAATTATGGCAAACTACTGATTGCTTAGTTTCCACTCACCAATGAATTGACAATTAAACAATTNATTTCATATTTTATGATGTTATTAATTATTAATATATATATATATATTAATAATAGATAACATAATAATTTCATATTTTTACATAAAGCTTTTACAGCTTTAAGTAATGCAAGCTGTAAACAATTTAGCATAATCTATAAATTGTGTGTAATAAATAAAAAAATGCATCACTTTTTTAATAATGTCAGTAGAATCATAGATCTATGGATGTGCTATTGATGAAATTTAAACTTTACATGACATTAGTTATATTTTTAAAAATACTTAGTTTATTACTTTAATAAAGTCATTTTGATTTTCAGTTACTTCTTGAACAGTCTGCATCTACAGTTAAGAGAGTTTCATTAGAGCTAGGAGGAAATGCTCCATTTATTGTTTTTAACTCTGCAAACATTGATAAAGCCATTAAAGGAATCATTGGTTCAAAGTTTCGAAATGCTGGACAGGTATGCTAACATCAGGGTTGATCTGTATAAATATTGGGAGGACTGGCCAATGACAAAGAGTAAGAAAAATAAAGCCAAACAACCACCAGATTACTTCAGGCTACTTTTCTGCAATTATATTTAATTAATTATTATATAATTTGTCACTAGAGGGAGACATTAGATGCCATCTCTTATGAAATTTAGTAATTATAATTAAATTAATAGTTATTAAATAATTTAGAATATTCAGGAAGAAAAGAATTGACCCAATGTGGGACTTAAACCTGCAACTCCTGCTTATCATACAGATGTGTTGCCAGTTATGCTATCCAAGCCTCCAGTCCAATCTCCTCTTCCAGATATATTTAAATATATAACCATCCTTGGTTACATAAGGTGCCAACTGGGATGCTTTCAGTGCCCTCGTCTTATAAACCACCAATTGGCACCATATGTAACCAAGGATGATTATATCATATTTAAATATGTTTGGAAGAGGAAATCAGACTGCAGACTTGGATAAAACAACTTGCAACACATCTGCATGGTAAGCGGGAGTTGTGGGTTCAAGTCCCACTCTGGGCCAATTCTTTTCTTCCAGAATATTCTAGATTATTTAATAAATATTAATTTAATTATAATTATTAAATTTAATAGGAGATGGCACCTAATGCCTTCCTTTAGTGACAAATCATCTAGTAATTAATTAAATATAATTACGGAAAAGTAGCCTTATATAATTTGGTGATTGTTTGACTTTACAAATTAATCAGATTTCGTGATGTTTGTTTAAGTAAGAAAAATTTCTCATTGCTGTGTTTTCAGTGGCTATACAGAAAAAGTGTATTTGTTTTGTATTATACTCATTTCTACTTTTAATTTTTGTAGTATAGTATAAAATAAAAATGTGTTGGAGAGACAATTTGCTGGGACAAAAATATTGGGGCAATATTGTTCCATATGGATTGACAAGCATGTACAAGGGTTGTTCAAAAAGTATCGGACCTTTGGTCGGCAAAAATACATTTATTGATTTTGAGGTACAAAACCCTAATCCCCTTCAAAGTAGTCTCCTTGGTAATGTATACACTTCTCCCAGTGTTCTTCCATTGCTGGAAACACTGTTGGAATGCATCTTTTGGAATGGCCATCAGCCAGTCCTTTGCATTCCGCATGATGTCTTCTCTTGACTAAAATTGGATTCATTTTAGTGGTATTTTCAGCTTGGGAAATAGCCAAAACTCACACAGAGCCATGTTGGGAGAGTACAGAGCGTGACGAACCACAGGAATGTTGTGTTTGGCAACGAAAGTCCAAATCAGAGGTGCAGAATGGGCAGGTGCGTTATCATGATGGAGCTGCCAAGTTTTGGTTGACCACAGATCCAGTCGTTTGTGTCACACAGCATCATAAAGATGATGAAGGACCTCCTGGTAGTACTCCTTTGCAATGGTTTGGCCTTGTGGTGCGTACTCACGATACACCACCCCACAGGAGTCGAAAAAACTGTCAACATGACTTGACATTGCTGCAGACCTGCCGCACTTTTTTTTGCCTCAAGGATCATCCCCGAAAGCCTGTTGAATCTTGTGAATGGTTTGTGCTTGGGTATCGCCAAGCTTTTGGCAAAATTTGATGCAATCTCACTGCTCATGTTGCTCAGTCATTTTTCAACTTAGTGGAATTCGACGAGCGCTCACTACACGTCCTCACTCATAGGCCGACTGCCAGCAACTGATGCTTCCTGCAGGTGGGAAAAAATTCAGGAATGTGCATGACTGTCCCATCCACAACTCCACCAAAAGAGACCTCCCGTGCATCATTGGTTTACACAGGAAAAATAAAGGTCCGATACTTTTTGAACACCCCTTGTATGCTAATTCTTCATTTAAAGAAATATATAAAAATATATTTATATCTGATAATTCTTTTTAACTATAGTATTTGAAATTTTTTTAAGTAAACCAAGTTTTATCTTTTAAACATTATAATTAGATCAATTACTCCAAATTAGCTTCCCTTATGGGATATTTAAAAAGGTTTGATGTTAAGAAGAGAAAAATCAATTTTTAAATTATTCTCTAATAAAAACTTAAACGATTTATTTGTATTTCTTCATTCATTAAAATCAGCAATAAAAATGTATTACTAAGTAAATATTAGAAACTTTAGGGAGTATTAGGATTACATTGACAACTGATATTGAACTATTATAATCTGTTCCAATCACATGATTTTTGGTAATTTTAACAAATAGTTTTAATTTTCTATAAACCTTTAGTTTATGTAAAATTTTTTAGTATTAGTACACTAAAGAACATCACATTTATACATTGTATTTTTTATACAATAATATACCAAACTATTAAATAATTAAAGCCAAATTATTTTAAAATACATAATCAAAATAAAGAATGTATTTTTTTCATGTAATACAAGATATTGTTAACATTTTTATATTTGCTTATTAATTGTTGCTTATTTAATATAATTAATATCATTAAAAAAATCTAGCCATTTTTAAGTAGGTTCAAAATTTCTTTAAGACTGCTAGAGTAATAGTGATTCACAATGAGCTGGACTGAATATTGGATAATAGATTGATTAGATAGAATGTTAATGAATTGTGCATTGATTAATTAATATGAACATGAATGTTTAGGTCTATTTCGTTTAAACGTTTAAATACTATATGTGAAACTTTTTGTGCACAGAATATCTTTATCTTCATTTATTCCCGCCAGAGCATAATTGGGATATGTGAAACTGTAATATATACATATGTGTGTAAAAACAAACCATGAAAAATTAAATGTCACTGTTTTGAATTTTTGAATTATCCTCTTATGTTCAGCCTTGTTTGTTCATATTTAGTTGCATGAATCTAACTTAAATGTAAATTCCAGTAAATTAAACCTGTGTTATCAAAGTAGATTTCTTAAATGTTAATTAGCTTAATTATTTAATATATTACAGATAGATGCTGATGTAATTATGTTTGGAAATGAACTTATTCTATTCAATTTAGTTTATTTTTCCTTTGGGTGACTATATTATCTGCACATAGGAAATATAACTGTTTATTGACATTGATCATTACAAATAAAAATTTAAATTAAAATCTTAGTTTATGAAGGTAGTTCTTTTATATAGATGTGAGATAAGCAAATAAATAATGTTATTTTTTGAAACGTGAATAAAAATACTTGTATTTTTCATTTAAAATAATTTTATTCATCAAAATATTCACCTTCACATTTAAAAAACACTTTCTCAACAGGAAGGCAGTTTGAAAATACCCTTTTTATAAATGGTTTGAATGACTCTTGAAAAATATCTTTCTTTGTATTTGGTGGACTTTGAGGGATATTGTTCATCACAAGTACAGTAAGACCCTGATTAATGCTGATTCGATATAACGCAGTCTGCTTGAAGCCTGGAAAAAGCTCAGAATTTATGCTGATTTAAATTAACACGGCATTTCATTGATTCATATATAATACGATTATTTACAAACATGAACCAATCAGAAAAAAGACATACTTTTTTTAAATCTATGTTTGTTTGGTGCAATTTTGGAAAAAATATAACATCATGGATGCCGTAAGCAATATCAGCTTCACTTAGCAAGAATTAACGATAAATGCACAAACGAAGTGTGGCTGAAGGTATTCAAGAATTTGCAATGAGAAGAGCCTATCACTGTATTGTAGGTTGACCAAATTGTCAACCTAACAATATAGCAGGACTAGGAGATGTAAATGAGCAGGATATTGAGGAGTTACCATAGGTTTCTGCTAAGAGTCTTACCAACGACAACCTTCAAGAACTGGCAGAACAAGGAATTCATGTAGAACTGGAATATAGAGATTCTGAAAATGAAGAACCCAAAAAATTTCTCTGCAGATTTCCTTAGTGAAAGTTTGGTAATGATAACTGAAATTGTTGATCAAATTGTAGCAAATGATTCAGATTTTGAAAGGAGTGCAAAAGCAAAACGAGGTGTTTTGGATGCGATATTCTGCTACCAACATTTGCTTAAGGAAAGAAAAAAGCAACAAATGAAACTTCACGACTTTATTGCAAAAAAACAGAAATTTCAGGAAAGTCAGTTTTGTCACAAAAAATGAGCTTTACCTATCTGTGTGCATATGTTTGTGTGTTATTTAACATATATTATTATATAAATTAATATAAAAACAACTTAAAATTAAAGTAAAATCTGCTTATTTTTGGTTGCGTGTTTCCATATCCGTATTTCCCTATTTACTCTATGTTAAAATGACCCTGTTTAACGCTGTTTCGTTTTGCACTTTGTCGTCTAGGAATGCATCCCCTGCATTAAGCAAGGTCTTACTGTACTTGAATATTGGTCAAACCCTCACAGCAGACTTGCACAGTGAGCAACTACAAAGAGCACACGACAAATTAAGGCTAAAACAACCACCTTTGGTGTTTTTGTTTTTACAAACAAAGTTCACACATACACATTGCAGACATCACAAGAAACAAAATAATGCAATTGGGATGGGAACTTTTGCTTCATCCTTTTTATTCTGCTGATTTATCTCTGTTGGATTACCACATTTTTTAATTAATCTTTAGATAATGATATGCATGAAAGAATTTACAAATCACATAGCTATAAAAGAGGAAGTAACTCAATTTTTAATGCTAAAAATGATATTTTCAAACTCTCCTTCCATTGAAAAAAATTTAATTGATTGTGAAAGTGAATATTTTGATGAATAAAATTATTTTAAACAAAAAATACAAGCATTTCTATTCACATTTCAAAAATAACATTATTTATTTAATTACATGATATTAACAGAAAATGAAATTAGTGAGCTAAAACTTACAAACATTAAGTCACAACTTCCACATTATTTTTATCAGAAACAGTTTTATTAACTGTTTCTGATAAAATGTGGAAGTTGTGACTTAATTTATAACTATAACATAGCACACAAACTGTATTTTTCATGACACATTTTGGTGTTAAGTTGCTAAAAACAGCATAAAAAAATTATATTGCTTGAAAAATGTTATCAAGGAATGTGAAATGTTAATAAAACTTATCAGTAAAAGCATTTGTTTTGCATGCTGGCTATAAGCAATATCTTCATATGCACTATGAAACATCGTTAATTTAATATGCACCATTTATGACAAATCTATGACTCAGTTGTGTGTTTCCAATTGCCCACAGTATTGTGGTTTCCAAAGATTAATCATTTAGTGAAATAATTTGAAAATATAATACGTAGCAAATAAAACTTTTAACAACCAAATCCGAGTTTNCAAAAAAACAGAAATTTCAGGAAAGTCAGTTTTGTCACAAAAAATGAGCTTTACCTATCTGTGTGCATATGTTTGTGTGTTATTTAACATATATTATTATATAAATTAATATAAAAACAACTTAAAATTAAAGTAAAATCTGCTTATTTTTGGTTGCGTGTTTCCATATCCGTATTTCCCTATTTACTCTATGTTAAAATGACCCTGTTTAACGCTGTTTCGTTTTGCACTTTGTCGTCTAGGAATGCATCCCCTGCATTAAGCAAGGTCTTACTGTACTTGAATATTGGTCAAACCCTCACAGCAGACTTGCACAGTGAGCAACTACAAAGAGCACACGACAAATTAAGGCTAAAACAACCACCTTTGGTGTTTTTGTTTTTACAAACAAAGTTCACACATACACATTGCAGACATCACAAGAAACAAAATAATGCAATTGGGATGGGAACTTTTGCTTCATCCTTTTTATTCTGCTGATTTATCTCTGTTGGATTACCACATTTTTTAATTAATCTTTAGATAATGATATGCATGAAAGAATTTACAAATCACATAGCTATAAAAGAGGAAGTAACTCAATTTTTAATGCTAAAAATGATATTTTCAAACTCTCCTTCCATTGAAAAAAATTTAATTGATTGTGAAAGTGAATATTTTGATGAATAAAATTATTTTAAACAAAAAATACAAGCATTTCTATTCACATTTCAAAAATAACATTATTTATTTAATTACATGATATTAACAGAAAATGAAATTAGTGAGCTAAAACTTACAAACATTAAGTCACAACTTCCACATTATTTTTATCAGAAACAGTTTTATTAACTGTTTCTGATAAAATGTGGAAGTTGTGACTTAATTTATAACTATAACATAGCACACAAACTGTATTTTTCATGACACATTTTGGTGTTAAGTTGCTAAAAACAGCATAAAAAAATTATATTGCTTGAAAAATGTTATCAAGGAATGTGAAATGTTAATAAAACTTATCAGTAAAAGCATTTGTTTTGCATGCTGGCTATAAGCAATATCTTCATATGCACTATGAAACATCGTTAATTTAATATGCACCATTTATGACAAATCTATGACTCAGTTGTGTGTTTCCAATTGCCCACAGTATTGTGGTTTCCAAAGATTAATCATTTAGTGAAATAATTTGAAAATATAATACGTTAAACTGTAAAAAAAACCAGATAAATAATAATTTGAAATTAATCATTTTAAAAATATTTAGCAAAAACAGTAAAACAGTATAAACAGTAATTGTGAAAATATATTATTTATTAAGTATTTAATTTTAATTTTTCTGCATTTATTATTTTTTTTATGGAAAAAATAAAATTTTGGGAAAACCAATCATATTATTATCACATAATACAACATCTTACAATAACGATTGTTCAACAACTACTATCATTATTTTGAAAGAGAAATAGTTTTAAAATTATAGATTTTTTTTATGAATGAAATTTAATTTTTACATATTTCATATTTTATGATATTGAAATAAATTTTATGTGTTTTAACTTATATCTTTAATAAATAATTTTATGCTACTTATTTTTTTTTTCAGACTTGTATTTGTACAAATCGAATATTTGTACAAGATAAGGTACATGATGAGTTTGTTCAGAAACTAAATGTTGCTATGGAAAAGCAGTTAATATTAGGAGATGGGTTCAAACCTGAAACAACCATAGGCCCACTAGTTAATGAACAAGCTGTGAATAAGGTTTGTTTAAAAGACATAATGACTTTTATTAACAGTATAGAATACTAATGAAGTTTTATAAATCATAATTAAAAGTAATAAATTAAAATTAATAACATTATTGTTAATTTGTTGATTATATTAGCTACATTAAAAGACTAATTAGTTAATACAATATATCTTAAAAATATTAGTAATGATTTATAACAATAATTTGTTAAATATAATGAGTTCATATTATATTATATATGAATATAATATGAATTATATTATATTCATATTATATTCAATAAAATATTTTAATAATAAGTTTAAGTAAAGAAAATAACTTTAAAGGTAATGTTATATTTGTATTATTTTGGGATGCAATCCAAAGAAATGGAACTAAAAATATTTGTATATTCACTTATTTGATATTTGTACACAATCACACAAATTAATTATGCAATTATTTACTTTACATGCAGATATATTAATTTATATTGAAATTTCTTATTAATTATTTACAAGTTATTATTTGGTGTTTATATGACATTATATTTGATATATTTAATGTAAATTGAGAAACTTTATCTTAATAAAAAAATTACATTTTTATTTTTCATATATTAAAAACAAGTATTATAAATTTATTTTTATGTCTGTTTTTATTCATATAGTTGTCATCCCTGTGAAATGTAAAAAAATAAAATATTTATACAATAGTTTGAATTTAATCAATCAGTATCAATTAGTCAAGCAGTTAATATCTAAAGAAGATTCAATAATGTAAATGCTTTACAATCAAATTTGACTTTGTCTATAGACAATTTTTTTCAGTTTGATTTAAAAAAATTATCCTAACAATGGTTGAGTAGATAAAACCACTGACCACTGGTAGTTTGTCATAGGTTTGTGTCTGNATATTAGGAGATGGGTTCAAACCTGAAACAACCATAGGCCCACTAGTTAATGAACAAGCTGTGAATAAGGTTTGTTTAAAAGACATAATGACTTTTATTAACAGTATAGAATACTAATGAAGTTTTATAAATCATAATTAAAAGTAATAAATTAAAATTAATAACATTATTGTTAATTTGTTGATTATATTAGCTACATTAAAAGACTAATTAGTTAATACAATATATCTTAAAAATATTAGTAATGATTTATAACAATAATTTGTTAAATATAATGAGTTCATATTATATTATATATGAATATAATATGAATTATATTATATTCATATTATATTCAATAAAATATTTTAATAATAAGTTTAAGTAAAGAAAATAACTTTAAAGGTAATGTTATATTTGTATTATTTTGGGATGCAATCCAAAGAAATGGAACTAAAAATATTTGTATATTCACTTATTTGATATTTGTACACAATCACACAAATTAATTATGCAATTATTTACTTTACATGCAGATATATTAATTTATATTGAAATTTCTTATTAATTATTTACAAGTTATTATTTGGTGTTTATATGACATTATATTTGATATATTTAATGTAAATTGAGAAACTTTATCTTAATAAAAAAATTACATTTTTATTTTTCATATATTAAAAACAAGTATTATAAATTTATTTTTATGTCTGTTTTTATTCATATAGTTGTCATCCCTGTGAAATGTAAAAAAATAAAATATTTATACAATAGTTTGAATTTAATCAATCAGTATCAATTAGTCAAGCAGTTAATATCTAAAGAAGATTCAATAATGTAAATGCTTTACAATCAAATTTGACTTTGTCTATAGACAATTTTTTTCAGTTTGATTTAAAAAAATTATCCTAACAATGGTTGAGTAGATAAAACCACTGACCACTGGTAGTTTGTCATAGGTTTGTGTCTGGCATTGCTGCCATGTGGAGTTTTCCAGGTTTTTTCATGTATCTAGAATCAAAATAGGAGCCAGTTTTCCATAGAAATTCATCCCAGGAGGCAGATCACCTGTGCTGTATTGCTTTATTCCATCAATACATTTGATTAAAAACCTTTATGAAAATGCAAATTAGTAACAAAAAAGTAACTATAAATACACAATATATTATTTTCTTTTATAGTTCTTAACACCTTTATGTAGTAGCTATAATTGGTTGAAAAAGATGAATAATACAATCACAAAATATTAAGATTAATTGACTTATTTGTTTTTAAAACTGTTAAAATTAAATAAATAAGTTATATTTTTAATTGATATAATTGGTTGAAATAGATTTATTTATAATTAATAAGAAAGCAGACTTTGTGACTATATTTTCTTTTATTGTTTACTTTCATTATCCGTAATGTATTACACAATTATAAGTAGAAAGATGATTTAACTAATGAATAAAAAATATATACATGGTGCAATCAAAAAGTTCCAAGACTGAGCCTGTAGTAACATAATGGGGCACTGCACAGGCACAAGCATGCAGCAAGAGAGGTATGTGGTTTCATGAGTTAGTATGCAAAGTGACAACATGCTGTGTTGTGTGGAGATTGTGTTACACAAGTTTTTTGACAACATCCTAGTGTACCTTTGCAATCTCATCATGGACCTGAAACTGGAGCAGAGAGATGACATCAAATTCTGTGTGAAATTGAGGAAATTGACAACAGGAAGCTTATGGCAATGAATGGAGCCATAGCAGTTTTCAGCACTTTTTTAACTTATTTTATTTTAAGTAGCAGAATGATGAAGACATGTATTCTGAGAAATAATTTTATTATAAATAAGAATTTATTATAGAAAAACAAAACATAACTTCAAAATAAAATACAGTGGGTGATCGGTTAACGAACAAATCGGATAACGAACACTTTCGCGAAAGATTTTTATGATCGGACAACGAACACATGATCGGATAACGAACACTTCACTGAACAGACATAAAAAGAAGCAGTGAAAATAGCAAATACCAACTGATTTTCCTTTGTTTTCAGGTAACTTTTTGGAGCGCGGGAGACCTCAACGTCGACGCTCAACCTGATAATATACTGATTAGATAGTATCCCTCGAACTTTGAAATACTCCCTTGTAATTCCAACCTTTTATTTTTCTGACAAACAATTCTTTTATAGTATTCGCGAGACTGTCGGCGGGCACTCATTAAGTTTTGTGTCGGTTTTTATTTTCGAAAGGTGAGAGTATAATAGCAAAGGTAGAGAGTGGGCAGAAGATGTCTGATGTTGCTGAGCAGATGGCTTGAACAGGTCTACAGTAGGCCGCAGTTCAATCTTATCTAAGAAAGATACTGTATTATTAAGAAGACTCAAGCAGCTAAAGGAGTAACAAAAATCACATCTGAGAAATAAAGAACAATGAAGAGCTCATAATGGAATCTGAAACGGATCTGACAACAGAAGAACGCCAAGAACTCTTGAATGGAGAACACCAAGAAACTCGGCAAGATACGTTTTATTCTGAAAAAGAGGATTAATGTTGATATCTGCTATTAATTAAAGATCTTTTGAAGAAATGGGGGATGTCAGATCAATGGTCTTAGAATGGCATACAAACCAGGTTGAGGTTAATAGGCTTGGGAATCTCTACAATTACAATGCTATTAATTACTTCTGAAAAATCCCGAAGAAGAGAGAAAAGCAATCAACATTAGACAGATTATTTAACCTCCACAAACAAAAAAACCATAACTAATAAAAATGCACATCTGTGTATATATGTATTTTTATTATTACATATAAATAAACGTAGTAAGAAAGTATATATTTTTTATTTTGGGGTGTCTCCAGAACGAATTAATCAAATTCCCATACAAACCTATGGTAAATTCATAATCGGTTAACGAACAATTCGGATAGTGAACAAAGTCTTGGAACAGATTATGTTCATTAACCGATCACCCACTGTATTCAATATGTACAGGGTGGGCCTGAATTATGTATTGTACCTACAACTCTGATATTCAGATATATAATAGATGGCACCACAGTTTTTTAATTAAATATTCGTAAAAATACTATATACAGTATTGTAAATGTAACACATGCAGTTGATTGATATATAAACGCTCTGCTCTTATGGGTATAGTTATGGAGTGTTCAAGGTCATGCCTATATCTTGTATGGACATTGGGTTAAAAGTGTTATTAGGAAAAACAGGGATTTCCAGTACCAGTTTTTAGGTTCATCCATCAGGCTGGTGTGCAGTGCCATTTTAACTATTGGTTTAAAAGGCTGTGACTGATGGGAGATTACAGAGACTTATTGGGATGGCATGAATTATGGCAAAGAGCACCTGATATTTTCAGTTTTTTAGTCCATGACATACAAATGTTTGCAAGGCATGAAGGGTGCTTTATTTCCCTCATCCCTTACTCCCTTGGCACCTGCCCCATTGCCAATGAATTGCTACAGCTCTGACAATGAAGCAATGAGCTGGGCAAGGTGTTTCCAGTGTCACACATCCTTCATAAGGAGCAGAACATCACTGGAGGACAACAAAAGGTCATGTTGAACCTCCACAAGCACAACCCCTGAAACTGTTGAGAATATTCAACGTTTTGTTCGTGAGGATTGTCAGATAAGCATCAAGGATATTATCATCAAGAAAAATATGTCATATGGAGCAGTACTATTGAACACAAACCATATTGCAACAAAGTTTGTGCCCAGACTCCTGAGCACTGAGAAGGTGCACCATGTCTAGGTCTGCAAGGATTTCTGTCAGCAAGCTTTTGATGATTCAGCCTTCATCTCCAGGTTCATTACCATAGATTATAGCTGGGTCTACCGCTATGACCTGGAAACCAAACAGCAGTCTTTTGCAATTGAAAAGCCTGCAATTGCCAAAACCGAAGTAGGCAAAGCAAGTCTGAAGCACAACCAAAATAATACTCATTGTTTTCTTTGTTGTTCACAGGATTGTACATGAAGAATTTGTTCTCATGGGCCAGACAGTGAATTCTGAGTTCTACTGCAATGTTCTAAGGCATCTGAGAGAGTAAATTTGGCATAAAAGCCCTAAACTGTTGTGCAATGGCAATTGGTTACTCCATCATGACAATGCTCCCAGTTTCAAAGTGCTGAAAATGCACAGTTTTAGTACATACCAAACCATCGTTGTTTCAAAATCTCTGTACTCACTAGATTTAGCCTCCTGCAATTTCTTCTTGTCCAAAAGATGAAATTGAAGTTAAAGGATTTCTGTTTTGCATTGGTAGAGGATATCCAGTGCAAACTGCAGAGGGTATGTGACACCTTCCAAGAATTCCAGGAATGCTGGAATTGATACAGAAGGGAACTAGTTTAAAGACGATGATTATGAAAGTTAAACAGATTATGTTGTTTTCTTTTTATAAGCCCAGTCTCAGAACATTTTGATTACATCTCGTATTCAGAAAAAATTATTACAAATAAATATTAAATTTTAATAAATTCTTTAATAATACAAAAATCCTATAAAAACAGGTAGATAAACATGTTCAAGATGCTATTAACAAAGGAGCTGTTTTATGTAAAGGAGGGAAAAAGTTGAATAATAATTTTTTTGAACCAACATTATTAACTAATGTTAAAGAAGATATGATAGTTTGTCATGAAGAAACATTTGGTCCTCTTGCTGCTGTTATCAGGTGAGACAACAAATATAATACTTATACATTCTATTTAACTGAAAAATTTTTAAATTCAGAACTTTAATAATTTTATATAAAAATGTATATTTATTTTATTGACAAAGAATGGTTGATAAATTTTTATTATATCCAATAAAATTTTTTTAATCTTATGTTTCACAAACCAATTAAAAACAAATGTTAATGTTAAATGATAAATGTAATATGAAAATACAAACCATCAATAGGGGGTTTATATTTTCATAATTAATATACAGTGGAACCTTGCTTAACGAGCACCTTGCATAATGAGTAATTCACATAACGAGCAAAACAAATTTGTAAAAATGACTCGCTTAACAAGCAATATTTCTCATAACAAGTGACGAGAAGGGATGTCCCGATTGTGCGCATGCTCCATCAGTCTGTGTTTATTACTCATTCCACTAGCATTTTAGTGTCGTTTGTGATCACACACATTTTTCCAAACTTGTGTTCACACATATCCTGTATAAACATCAACAATCATAGCCCATTATATAATAAACATGCCAAACAATATGCCAAATTCATGGGCTATGTGAAGGCTATAATTAAACAGTAGAAATTGTTTAATTTGACTAAATGTAGGCAGTTATGCTACCATCTCATATTAAATTTAATGACCAATTCCTGAAATGTCTAAATTAAAAATTAATTATTTATAATTATTAAATTTAATACGAGATGGAAGCATAACTGCCTACCTCTAGTCAAATTAATTAATTTCTAATATTTAATTATAGTCTTTACATAGCCCAAGAGTTTGGCATATCGTTTTGAGTAATTATCAGACATATTATCTGTGATATTTTTGTTTTCTGCAAATAGAATTTGCATTTCAGGTTGGTTTGTGCCATTCTAGAAGAATGACGATGATGATGATGATGATTCACGCTCCTTAACAATGTATATTGTATAATTCTTTTTGAATAAACATTATACATAAAATATTTGAGTATTTTTTTTCAACATGGAATGCTTTATCGTACTTTACATTAATTTATATGGGAAAAATTGCTTCGCTTAACGAGTGTTTTGTATTACAAGTAAGATTCTGGAATGAATTATGCTCATTAAGTGAGGTTCCACTTAGGGTTGCCACCTTTTTAAAATCGCTGACCTGGACAACAGGTGAGGTTTGTTCGAACAGAAGTTCCTGACGCATGCGTGTATCATTTTGCAATGCAAAGATTAATTTGCAGTGCATGCTGGTTCTAAATCAGTTTACAGTTAGTGACTAGGGAGACTTGGATTGGAGTAACGCAAGTGACCCAGCTCTATTGGATATTGGAGGTGTATATGATTATGAATGAACAGTACAAGCAAAAAAAAAAAAAGGGTTGGCAGGTTACGCACGATATCCCCTGACGGCGAGTCGGATGGTAACACTATTCTGTGCTCATTTCAATCGGACTCCCCTGCCGCCTCCCTACGCTACTGTCTTTAAATCAACGACTACCACACTAGTAATTCGGTACACGGGGGAAGAAATATATGCGACGGTTTGCATATAATTTTGTACATATTCATTTCAACTTGCACAACCCTGAGAAATATTAATTGAGCCCGGAGATAACTCACTCAATCTCGTAGTCTCCGGGTCAAACCCGGACAGGTGGCAACCCTAGTTCCACTGTATTCATAAACTAATAATTAATTTTACAGAAGGAAAATGTTCAGTAATATTTCTCAAAATTTAAAATATTGTTATGCAAAGTTATCATTTAACATAAATTTTATTATGTACTATCAGATAAGTAAACTACAATATATATGAATATAATTCACTTTGATCTTGCATGTTAAAAACTATAGATTATAAATGATCTTCTTTTTTAAATATAAAGCAAAGTCCCATACAATGAAGGGATACTTTCTGTATTATAGGGAATCACGTTATGGAGACAAGCATTATCAGATGATTTTATACAAGTTTAAGCCTAGACCTAGAAGTTGAAGAAAAAAACATATATCTCTTGATGACAAAATTAGAATTTTGTATGAGTACTAGTTGCAATTTTTTTTGTTGTATTATATGTAAAGATGCTACCCGATGATAGTCTGTCTTATAGTGAAAGACAGAAATACTCACTCTTCCTGTGATCAGTGAGGATTATGCAATAATTTAGGAACATACAGGAGTAGTGGTATTGGACCCAGAGACTCATATGGATACCTGGTTGACAAGGTTACTTGCATTTAATAGAACCATAAAACATGCTTACACAAGGGTTCAGCAAAGACTTTTCTGCAGATTTCACTCAAAAAGGAAAAACAAAGTTCATTGCTGATTTTCTGTGAGGTAAATCTTGAAGGTTGGAAGACCCCGGGGTGGCAATGTCCTATCTGGCAATGGTTGCAAGTTGGTCTTGAGTAGAAGCCTGTTCTTCATTGGTTATTCAGAACTTCAGAAATGTTCTTTGGTTGTTGGGCCCATAGGTGGATGATTTCAATCATAATTTCTCAGATGGATTATCTTGATTACAACCTCCTCATGTCGTAGAAAATCCAGGCTTTTATACAATTTCTCCCCAATATCCCAATTTCTGGTTGGTTTGAACTGGTGGTCTCCTGCACCTCCATCTGTTACTAGGGATGCAATTCTGTGAGGGTCGTAAAAGCACATCAAAATTTCAACTAATTATGAAACTCCTAAGTCAGAGAGTTTTGAAGATCAAATCGAGTCAAGAGGGTGTGTTGGTGACAGAACCCAGATGGGAAGAAAACTTTCTTATTTATTGTAAAACAATTGCAAAGTGATGATAAATGGCAGGGGGGAATGTTGACAGAGAGAGAGAACTTTATCGAGATGCTTGTGAACAAGTGTCGGGTTGAAACAATCGAGAAAAGGGGGGGCTTAATGACTAAAGGGACATCTGTTAAGCCCGAACGCGTTAGGGGATAAATGGCCACAAGAACATCTGGTGGATCGTTTAGGTTCAAAGATGTCAGATAAAAGGGCCATAATGGAGTAAAATACAAGCGCAGACTTTAAAACCTCCGTTATCACCTCTCCAACCTTTCCCGACCCAGATCAGTCTTGGGTTTCGCCTAGAGACAAAAGAATGACCAATCGGGGTAAGGGAGAGGGTGAACGGGATCAATCAAAAGGGTGATATTCGGAGAAAATCTTATAAAACCCCCAAATCTCAAGGATAACTAGTCGATTCTCCTCCGGACAAGTGCTGAGTAGATTCCAGGACCTCTGTCCACCAGCCTGTCACATCCGTCCAAGCTTCTCCACATGCTAAGAAGTGTGCGCATCAGAATGTCAACCATCACCTCTGAATCTGTGGACTGTACTCCTTGGAAGCCCCAGGGCCACCACAAGTGTCACACCACACCCTACGTCTGACGTTCCTTGTTTATTGTTCTTCTATTATTATGTAAGTTAAACTAGTTGTTAAAATAAACGGTTTGTGTAAGGCACTTGTCATCTTTGTCTCCTGCCGCCACCACCCACATATGATTTGCCCCTAGGTTTTCCTGACATGCAATTAACTTATTGCCCCTAAAAGTCGGCAACCTTACAATTCAGATCAGGGGGTTGTTGAACACCCCATACAGAGCATGATCCTACCCTCAGGGAGAGTGGGTAGGATCATGCTCTTTCTCAAGCTTTTCTCATAAATTACTGACAATATGTTTTTTCTCTGCCTTGGAAAGGACACAGCTATGTCCACATGATCCTGGCTGCCACCCCCTCCAAGGAAGCATTCACTTTTTCCACTTTGAACTCTGTGTAAGATGACCACAAAACTCCTCTTTCTGTCATTCCGTTACTCTCCCTTGCGATCTACAACCAGGAATGTGATAATTAGATTCTCTAGAATTGCATTTCTCCACATCGCTGTTTCTGTTTACAATAATAAGTCAATCATTTATTGACATCAGTCTAATGGTCCATCTCCCATTGATGGGTGAAGTCCTGGCTTCATATACAAATTTGCATTATAGGGGATTACATGGGAGTTCAATGTATTACTGTTTCTGTACATTAATATTCAGAAACTTTAGATTATTTAGGTATTTTTCTTGAATGCAGTCATGAAAAAAATGTGAATTATTAATTCTCTCATTTCTATTTGAAAATATGGATATATTGTGAAATATTGTAAAATATAGATGTTTTTATTGTCAAAATGTTATATTTTTGAAGCGTTTGTCATAATTTATAATAATCAATATTTTTAAATTGCAATTAAAGTTTGATAATAAATTTGAAGAAATATTAATTTTATATTTTGTGTTTCAAAAAGAAGAAAATATTTGATTTTATGATAGTTTAGTAATTTATCTTAACATCATAATCAAATTTTGGTAACAATTTGCTTCTAATCAAAAATTTGTAGCATTAATTTTTTCCTTTTTTAATGTTAAGGATTCAAATATTGATAATATATTTTATAAAACAAATAAAATTAGCAAATATGTTTTTGTTTAGAAATAGAAAAAAACAATTTAATTATAAATAATTTATGCCAAACATTTGATTCATTTATAAAATTAGATAATTTTTAATTACTTTATAGTAAAAATAATTAAATTTATTGAATGTTATTCAAGTTTATAAATTAATAATTATTTAATCAAATATTAGATGCATATCTCTTATAAGATTGTTTTTTGAAATTAGATTTAAATCAGAAGATGAAGTAATAACTTTTGCAAATGCTACTCGATTTGGACTAGCAGGTAGTTTCCTTTTTGAGAATTAATTAATTTCAGATAAAGTATATTGCTTTCAAATTCATATTAAAATTTAATTTAAAATATTTTTGTGATAAAATATGAAGATAATATTTGATTGCTTTCTTTAGGTTATTTTTATTCTGAAGATATATCCCAAATCTGGAGAGTAGCTAAGAAATTAGAAGTCGGTATTGTAGGTGTTAATGAAGGAGCAGTATCAATGGCAGAAATTCCATTTGGAGGTGTTAAAGAATCAGGTTTGGGAAGGGAAGGTTCAAAATATGGTATTGATGAATTTGTATATTTAAAATATATATGCTTAGGAGGTCTTGAATAAATTAATCCTATTTAAAAGTGTATTTTGTAGTTCATGAAAGAAAATTTTGTTAAGTTGATTATAATAATATGTTGATTATTATTAATACTAACCACTATCAACAATTGTAAGAGATAAAGCAAATTTATTATTGCAATAAATCAGATTAACAAAATTTTAATATGCTAATAAAGTATAATTACATTNTAATTTTTTTTAAAATCATTTTAATTAATATTTCGTTGATTATTTGTTATTTTAAGTTTTGAAAGTTTTAATGGTTTATTAAAACACATTTATTAAATTAAATAATTTTTTTAAAGACTGTCATAACTTTTTTGTAGCTGTGAAATGATTAGTTAAATGTTCTAATTATGTAGTCTTCATAGTCATTGGGCTGCAATTTGAAAAAATTGTAACCTATAAATTCCCAATGTTGTCTGTTGTTACCTTCATTAATTTTACGAACATAATTAGATAGATGACAGCCAAGACCAGATATGGAAAGCTTAGAGGTAGGAGGCCTCAATTAACTATGTAGGAACTTCTGGTTTACACTGGAAGTCACATTATTTCAATTTAAAAATTTTTCCCTGAAAGGCATTAGATAGATGACTAACACAACTCTATTGCTAGCAGGAAAGTATTATGTAAAGGGGAAAGACACTAATTTGATATGGAGAGAATATATTTTAAAGTAAATAAATTAAAAATATGATTAAAAATTGTAGCCTCGCATTGTGACAATGTCACAATAAATAATTTAATGTATTTTTTTTAATCAGAAACTGGATTATTCAAATAGAACTGATATTAGCAACTGCTATATTACTATAATTATCTGATTGTTATGTTTAGAATAACCAGTACACAGAAAAATAATTCTCCAATCCTTTCTGACTTATGGAGGCTAAAATGGGTCTTAGAATTTTTTTGCCTCCATAAGTCAGAAAGGATTGGAGAATTATTTTTCCATGTACTGGTTAATAGTGCTTAGTTTATTGTAAATGCAAAAGTGTGATAAGCAAGCAAATAATGACTCTCCATTAATATTCTAAAATTATGAATGCAAACCTTCCTTATAAAGTTTAAAAGATTTTTTTTTTGTTTGAAACATTTTTGGAATCTAATCTAATGAGTGATACAAATCAAAACATTTTCCAAATTCAGAAAAAAAATGTTTTGGAATTTCTTAGTTAAGGTTTGATCTTAATCTGAATGTTATTCAATTACTTTAAATTATTTCAAGTATTATAAAATTCAAATTCAAGTATTAATTTTTATGTTTTATATCAAATAGTATTTCTGATTAGTTTATTCAACATTCATGATTAAAACAAAATTAAAAATAATTATTCTAACATAAATCTTTCAATATTTATATATATTTTTTTCTTTTTATTCTGCTAAAATTTGAATTAAAAAAAATAAACAAAAAAATTTCTGTTAAATTATTTTGATATATTTTGCTTTTTCTTTTGTTTGGAGTCATTTTCTTTTATAATAACTTTTAAATATCTGAACCAAATGGATTTGTACAAAATGAAATCTCCAAGTTAGACAAAACAAGAGTGGATAAGTTATTTATATAAAACTTAGTTATTTGCAGTTATTTGCAGAGTTGAATTCTCTGGGCTTGCTTAGCATGTGCTGCATGCTTAAGAGAAAGTTTTGATTGTCAATATATTTTTTATATGAGAACAGATATGCTAATAATAATTTATTCTAACGTGTAAACTCTTTTATCACTTGTGTTTGCTTTTACATTGACAGCTAGCGGATAGCCGTTTTAAGTCAGTGCGATGCTTGCTGGAACTTGATCGCTTGCTTGTGTAGTGGTTTTCCGCAGCAAACATTTGCATGCTCATGATGTCATTCAAAGCATTTAACACGGCCAGATTGTATCGAAAGCTTGCGGTACCCAGTCAGCATACATGTATTGTGTACAGGGCAGATCTACATAGGGACTAATAGTCAAGGATCCATAAAAATTGAATTATAATCATAACTTTTTAATACTTTTTATTATTTTTAATACAGTATAATATATTTCATGTGTATGGACTTTATAATGGTAGATATAATGGGCTTTAGAATAGTCCATACTTTTTATTCACACCAAATAACATTTCTGCCTATTGTTTAGTGTTAGAGATAGGCCTATTATTCTTATAACTTTCAGCATGCCCAAAAATTTTGGTCAGAATTTGCACCTGGTTATTTGTATATATGTATAGTTTAATAATTTTATAGTAATTCTAATAATTAGTTTAATAGTTTTTTTTAATGAAAATTTTTTTTAATAGTAAATTGAAGAAAGAAAATTGAAAAATCTAATACAAATTTTTCAATTTTCTTTCTTCAATTTACTATTAAAAAGAATTTTCTATTAAACATTATTCAGTTATTATTGATGTATTATTGAAACATTATTTAGTGATAATTAATATAAAGTGTAAAATTATTTACATGAACTTCTTAACAACATATCTGAAAGTATTTATTTTCAATCTTAGTAATAAGTTTGTATAAATAATACTTTTCACTTTGATGGAATCAAGATTAAAAGCATTAGTAAAGGCATCAGTCTCTTATAGGAGATCTGCTTTTTTAGGTTAGATACTCAGAAATTTTCATGAATAGTTAAATCCAAATGTGTTGAATCTATGTCCTGTTCTGCAATACATGCAAAAAAGGATAGGGATTTAGATGCAGACAGCTCTGTAAACCTGAATGAACTTGTAATGATCATGAAAAATAGGTCTCTTTATTGCTCACAGAACAGAAAAAATTAATACTATCCTTTCAAGCATATAAAATACATAAAGTTTAAAAGAATAGAGCTTACAATAATGTTGAAAGCTTACAACTTTATCAATCACTACTACTAAAAATTTTTCACTGAATTTACTCAGATTGCTTCCTCTTCTGTTTGACTATTTATATTTATGCATATAGACCTTGTACATAATACATATAAAGCATTGTAGAAATGTTACATTCTTTTTGTTGAAATGATAAAGTTGAAGCATTAAAAATTTCTAATTCATCAAAATTTGATGCAGATATAGAACTATTAAAATTTTGATATTAACAAACTAACAAATTTTCTATTAAACTGGCATTTAATTTTTTTTTAAATCATTTTAATTAATATTTCGTTGATTATTTGTTATTTTAAGTTTTGAAAGTTTTAATGGTTTATTAAAACACATTTATTAAATTAAATAATTTTTTTAAAGACTGTCATAACTTTTTTGTAGCTGTGAAATGATTAGTTAAATGTTCTAATTATGTAGTCTTCATAGTCATTGGGCTGCAATTTGAAAAAATTGTAACCTATAAATTCCCAATGTTGTCTGTTGTTACCTTCATTAATTTTACGAACATAATTAGATAGATGACAGCCAAGACCAGATATGGAAAGCTTAGAGGTAGGAGGCCTCAATTAACTATGTAGGAACTTCTGGTTTACACTGGAAGTCACATTATTTCAATTTAAAAATTTTTCCCTGAAAGGCATTAGATAGATGACTAACACAACTCTATTGCTAGCAGGAAAGTATTATGTAAAGGGGAAAGACACTAATTTGATATGGAGAGAATATATTTTAAAGTAAATAAATTAAAAATATGATTAAAAATTGTAGCCTCGCATTGTGACAATGTCACAATAAATAATTTAATGTATTTTTTTTAATCAGAAACTGGATTATTCAAATAGAACTGATATTAGCAACTGCTATATTACTATAATTATCTGATTGTTATGTTTAGAATAGTGTTTAATAGTTCAGTAGTGTACAGATGATAATAGAGATTAATAACTTATATTTATCGCAGAGAACATTTACTTTTAGTATAAATTGCAAATATTCATGTTTATTGTTAATTCATGTTGAAATAATGCATGTATATCTGGTTCATTAGATAATTGTTTGAAAACTATTTTTCAATGAGTGAAGGCAATTTCAAGTGTCCTCACTAATCAAAATGTTGGTCTTCCATACTGAATTATCCAGTAATAATGTTAGTTTAGACCAGGGGTGGCTAACCTTTCTGAACCCGCGTGCCAAAAGTAAGTACACTTAGCTTTAAAGATGTTTATGCGTGCCAAAGTTTTAAACTTCAAATAACAATATTTAAAGAAATTAAACAAATATGCTTTAATTAGAATAAATGTAAAAAAAGCTTATTGAGAAAAGGGTGATTGAAAAAGACAGATGATCAATCGAAATCATATGATACATTACTTGTCAAATGATTTCTCTATACATAGTGCCACTTTGGGCACGCATGCCATAGGTTCGCCATTCCCGGTTTAGGCTATTCAAGAATTATTTTAAGTAGGATTAAAATATATAAAATTTTATTTTCTCAAGTTTAGAGTTTTATACAAGGTCCAATCAATAAAGACTGAAAAAATGTTTTATTCTGAACTATCACAAGTATATTACTTCTGAATATTGATTTCCAAACTCAATGCATTTATTTTGAGTCTCTGACATTTTTAAGTACCCGATGGAAGCAAATTTTGGACATCTTAAAATCTCTTCTATAATATTTCTTTTTTGTCTGGAATCGCTGTTTTCACAGTTGCTTTTTCAGTAAAAAGAAGATAAAAAGTTTGGCATGTTACTAAATGTAGAATATAAGGAATACAAAATACACATTAAATACTATATGATATCAAAATTGAATAAAATTATTAACAAGTTAACAGTTTGAAATTTAATATTATTATAAAGCATTAATTATAACTCCAACAACAAAAATTTTTCTATTCTAATATGATCCAATTTTTGTTTTTTAACTGAATAGATTATTATAGATCCTATTATAGTTACTTTGATAATTATAGTTTAAACTCTTGCATAATTTCTTGAATAAGTCTTAATTTTGAATGAAGTCTTATTCAAGAAATTATGCAAGAGTTTAAACTATAATTATCAAAGTAACTACTTAATAGGATCTATAATAATCTATTCAGTTAAAAAACAAAAATTGGATCATATTAGAATAGAAAAATTCTTGTTGTTGGAGTTATAATTAATGCTTTATAATAATATTAAATTTCAAACTGTTAACTTGTTAATAATTTTATTCAATTTTGATATCATATAGTATTTAATGTGTATTTTGTATTCCTTATATTCTACATTTAGTAACATGCCAAACTTT